GGGGCGATCCATATAACGATAAGCCCAACCTCATTTGCTTTTACCCTAGGTCGAATACAATCAACTTTCCACTTCTCTTAAGGGGTCCGGAACATCCAAATGTGCTGAGGATCTCCTAATTTTACCACTATAAATTAATAGGTGTAGAGGATTGCCTGAAAATCCTCAATTGTCTAATCCTTCCTCTTTAAAGCCTATGCAAGTCTAGCTTTAGCATATTGATCCTTTAGTTTTAGCCACTTCTGAGCAAGTTACTTTTATATATTTGCCTTATACAATACACGATCAATTTTTCTGACTCAACCCTCTAGTATAGACCTGTTACATAAATGCAAATAAGTCATTCTAAGATGTTTTTATGGTGCAACATAGGATAATGTGTTTTTCTCAGTAATTGTGGAGTATCCGACGTGCAGATTGTGTCGCATTCTCAATTGAGCCTAGTTTACAAGCTCTGGCTAGATAACTGAACAGTGAACCTGTGGTGACTAACTAGGTGTGCCAAGGTAGATATGGTCTGAAAGGTACAGAGGAAGGCCATGATCATACCCTTATCAATATTTGTAATCTCTTGATGTCCTGTTTTAGAACTATACCAGGATCGCTTTACTTGTTTTGGAGGCATTATGAGCTTTATTTAAGTGGTGGTATAACGCAACCAGTAATATATACGTAATATTACTTCTCGGTTGTGGTATTTATTCTTGCTTAGTGTTGTTAACTAAACTTTCACCAAGACTTATATCCAGTAACTGTACATATCAATCTTAGTTGCATCCTACAACTATAATATTAGAGAATCAAAGGTGTTAGAATAACACTATATACATGACTACTAGCCCTCTGATCTGATTCCATTCCCAGGATATATATGCAGTGACCCTCAGCTAGGTCTGTAAAGTAGAATGGAGTACATCCAATGGCCACCCATTGAGCTACCAGGCTTGAAAGATAGATCACCTTTGGCAAGAGCTGTAGGTAATGGGACATGTATGCTCAAAGATA